CTGGGTGACATTTTCATTGGGCAGTTTCCTGGGACCAAGGTCAGTCACCTCCAGTTCAGACTTCATGACCTTCTAGATGTTGCTGGACCACAACTCCTATCACCCCTGACCATTGGCCATGTTGACTGGGGTTAATGGGAGTTGAAGGGCTACAGTATTTCTCCTTCTCCCCGCTGTAATGTATTAAAAGAGAAGCACTAGAAGATGCAGACATGCTCTAAGAATTGCTGCAAGTGTTTTGGGTAGAATGTATTATCAACTCCATGCTATTTTGGGACGTGAGGCAGATAATTTGTGAAGCAAATTCACAAAGCTTGCAGACACATCAGTGGATGCTTATGATGGGGATGTGAGAAACCTGTCAAGTTATTTAAACATATCTCTTGAGAACCTTGCACCACACTATGTAAAGTGTGGGAGGCGGTGGGAAATCTAGGTGGTAGTCCAAACAGAAGTTTTTGAGTGACTTTCTAATGTCCTGAGTATCCAGATTATCACCCCACTGGCCCTAATGCCAAAATCTGGCTCAACTGAAATCCCAGGTTGGGGAAGAACACCTGCATCTCAATACAGCTGTTATGACGGATATTGCTCAAAACGGTAGAAATCCCAGGGAGTGGAATGAGGGAGAAGAGAATAAATGCTCTGTTAATCATTTGATCAAAAACCAGCTGCTTCTATGCATCTTAGACTGGATGGTGAAGTTCCACAAAGGTATTTGGCTAGAATATTTTGCAAAATTGATTCATTCTGTTGGGTTACTCTTACTTACACTGGTATAGTGTGGTAACAACAGCTTTAGCTGAGTGTGTTAGTAAAGAAGTATAAGCTTGCCAGCTTCATTCAAAATAGTAGGGAAGAGGGGGCATTTAGCCATGGTAAGAACTAAGTGTGGGATCACTGTCGTGAAGGAATTTGACTACACCATCTTACATAGCTCCTTGTGGATTCAGACGAAAATGTCCTCCTCTCGGTTATATCAGAGAAAGAGTTAGAACCCACAAAGAGCTATTATTTCTAAGAAGGGCATATGCTGAATACAAAGTTTATTACTACTACTCTCTGTGTTTGTGGTCTCACTCAAGACTCACTGCAGGCCAAGTCATGTTACTTGATTTAAACCAATCTAGAGCCTTTAAGTCAAAAAGAGTATTCTTTTTGACAAAACATACAGAGAAAAAGACATGAATAAGTACATCTTATCAATCAATCACGGTTCTAACTTCTGTACTTGAGCTTCAAGACACAGAAAATTACTTTCTATGGGATTAGAGCTATAGGCTGGGGCAACCTAGCCAGATGGGTGGGGAATGAATGAATGGATGGAAATAATAATTAGCACTGCCCCTAGTGATTTTCTACACCCCCATACACTCCCAAAGAGAACCCTCTCGCCTGCCCAACTCAAAGAGCACTTTGCGAGGTAGAATCTTAATTTGGGAATATTAGCCAATAAAATATTGGAAGCCAGGCTCAGTGTCACGTGCTCTTTTAGGCCCAGGTAATGTGGTCTTTGTAGCTCTAGGAATTAATTAAATCACAGGAAAAGGAACAATTGCTTAATGGATAGCAATGGCTGGTAAAGATGGCCATTTCTTTATTTTATTTTATTTTTTTAAAAAAATATGCCTCTTGATTGCAATAAAACCTCAAAGTGGCTTACAAAAAGAATAAAACAGGCTGCTTCTGGGAGTGTGAGTGATGGTGTCTTGCTCCCCTGAAGGAGCAGATACATAGTCTGGGGGATCCACAACTGCCATTGGAGGCCCAGGGAGTGCCTGTTGCCAGGTATGGTTGGTTTGCCAGCTATGGACATTCCTGGCCTGGAACAGCCTGGTAACAACATTGCTCACTCTGGTAACCTCTCATCTCGATTACTATAATGTGTTCTACGTAGAGTTTACCTTGGAAGACAGTGCAGAAACTGCAACTCATGAAGAATGCCACTGCTAAAGTATGGATGGGTGTCTCTAGATATGGTCACAGAATCATAGAATTGTAAAACTGGAAGGGACCACGAGGGTCATCTATGTAGTACCTGTCTTCTGAGATCTGGACAGGCTGTTTATAGGCTCAATTTAAGATGTAGATGTTATTACACAAAGCCTTGAATGACCTGGGATCTGTGCGTTACATGCTGTGTTATTTTACTGGTTGTGTTGGAAATTGCATTGTCACTAGTAGACAATGGTGAAAAGCGTCTACAGATTCTGGAAATAAGCAATGAACTCAATGCTACTTACTTTTGCATACTGTATAAGATTGTAAGTGGCACGAATGTGCAAAGCATTATTTAGATGCTTCAATAAACCAGCTCAGAATTGTGGTTTAGATCTTGCCAAGGTTCCAGTGACTGAGGGAGAGGCGGGCAAGTTGAAACCTGACCTTGGTAACTCAAGCCAGAGAGAATAAAATAGAAATAAACACTATTATTCCTGGAAAGAAGCTCTCCTGCCCCCTTGCTAAAGCACACTGCCATCCAGATCAGATTAGTCTCAGATTCCTTTCTCTGCTCCACCTCTCATTGTCAGGACAATGTTCCCAGACCTGGACAACAAAACTGCCATTTTATTCAGACCTCTCTTCTACAGATTTGTCAAGTGAGAGAAACATCTGCACACAGGGCACTCTCTTTTGCTGAGCCAAGTGTTTGGGACACAAGCCTGCTGATCTTCTTATTTAAAAGGATAAAACAATATTTGACCCTACTAAATCATCAGGCCATGTCACTTGCCTTGCCATGGGTTTCCACACTGTTTTACTCTGGTAGTATTTTAGCACATTAATAGCAGCACACATACCACATTGTGCTCTTCAGCAGCTGTGCTTAACTAGCCTGGAGGTAACTGTAGCGTAAACTTAGCTTTTGTTTTTGTTTCAAATCCTGATCCCAAAGCCTCAATAACCCTCTCAGAACACGCCACTTGTTTATGAACCTACAGTTGCCGAAGACGCTTACACAGAAATTCTGTGCCATTTCCCTACTTACTGCAAGAAAGCATGGGCATGTACACATGTAACCCCCTATCCTCATCAACACTTTTTGTCCTATCCCAAGAGGATATTAAAATGTACTGACAGCATAATTCAATGCAGAAGTAAGTTCCACATACTTCAGTGGGTCTTACACCCAGGTAAGTAGGTCTAGGATTGCAGCTTGAATCCTTTAACTCAATACATTATCCCAGGGGTCACCAACTTTTTAGACCAGCAGGCACGCCTTGAATTTTGACAAAGTGCTGTGGGCACCACTCACAAAATGGCTGCCTTGGTGGCATGGCGTAACACAAAATGGCTACCATGGGGCATGGCATAACACAAAATGAGAGTGCGGTCCTTGTTGCTTCCTCCCCTTTACAGTGGTGCCTGCACTGTGGAACAAACCCAGCAGGCAGCTTCAGTAATGTGCTTCTTCCAGCAATTAAAAACACTTCTGTTTATCCCAGCATATGTGAATTGCTGATCACTGGATCATTTACTGTTTAATTGTGTTTACTGTACAGTTTCTTTTTGGGAGTGTACACTTTTATTAGCTTTAATGAAATTCATAATATTGTTTTAATTATGCTTTGTTACCCAGTGCAAAAGAAAGGAAAAAACCCAATAAATAAAACATTCAGTCAGCAGCCTGCTAATGGGATCCTTTTCAGTGGCCATGTGCTATCTGTCATCTCTCAAAACAATAGTTGATCCAAAACTTCCTTTGGAGCGCTTATGGGTGGATGGATGTGGGCTGATTCTTTCATTATAAGTCAAATGAGGTGACACAAACAGGACTGTTTTGAAGGTGACTAGCTTTTCCTTTCAGGTTTAGAGGCCAAGGCTGCCTGTTACCCCCCGCCCCCCGGTCCGTACTGAGCTTTGTGACAAGATCCTTTTATTCTGCTGAGCCATAATGAAACAAACATAGCTAGAAGGAAGTGAGTCAGGAACCCCGGTCTGCTTCAAGGGAAAGTGTGATTCAATGCTTGCGACATCGGCCTTGTTCCCCAAAGGCTCCACAGGATGCTGCAAAATGAAATGAAATTGTGTAATCCACAGAGACAACTCACTGTACATCCTAAATCTTCTGATCTTCCCATAGGAGGGGTGCTTCTGCTGAGTACTGTATGTTAGCTGATTTCTTAGAATGAAAACACCCAAAAATTCTGTGAGCGAACTGAGCCGAAGGCGCTGGTGCTGGGCTGCCTGCCCACACTGACAGCTGAGCTAGGAACCACAGGCGTATCAAATTTAAGAAGAGCTCAGCAATGATTTGGCAGAGAACTCCTGAGTCCTGTTTAGTCTATGCTTTCCTCCTCTGCAATGTGCCAGGGCTAAAGATATCAGTAAAGGAGATGGACTGACTGGTGGTACTTATAGGCCACTTTTCCACAACAAGCTGGGCTCAGTGTGGCTTGCAGCAAACAAACAAAACCTTCAAAATAGGGAACACTGGAAATACAGAATACAGTGGTATCTCGGTTTTCGAACATTTCCATTGACGAACGTTTTGGTTTTCAAACGCCGTAAACCATGAAGGAAATGCTTCGGTTTTCGAACACACCTCGGAAATCGAACATGAAACATGACTTCCGCTGAGTGCAAGATCCTGAGACCTAGCTGTTGGCTATTGAGTTTTCAGTTTTCGAACGTTTCATTACTTGAACCATCTTCTGGAACAGATTACGTTAGAAAACTGAGGTACCACTGTATACAAAATACATAATAGTAAATTTTAAATAGCAGGAACCAACAATTTAGCAAGAACAGAATAAATTCAATATTACAAAGAAAAAAACAATCTAGGTATTCTAAATACACAGAGAGAAAAAAGTTAACCAACAAAACAGTTGGTACAGCTCTTTCTGTACTCCAAGAAGCCTGGCTTAAATGATGCTGAGAGGCAAGTGGTAGAAGACATAGAGCTGGCATGATGACAGGGGAGGAGAAAGTGAGGCTGAAAGGCAGCTCCAGAAGACATGTAGTGAAAGCAAGGCAGCCCTATAATACAATGCAGGGGGAATGGCAGTATCTCAGCGGCCGAGTTTCTGCTTTGCATGCAGAAAGTCCCAGGTTTAATCCCTGGCATCTTCAGGTAGGGCTGGGAGAGACCCCAGTCTGAAACCTTGGAGAGCTGCTAACAGTCAGTGCATGCAATATTAAGCTAAATGGACCATTCAGTATAAAGCAGCTTTCTATAATCTTATATTTCATTGGAATCTGTCAATCCATCGTATTACCTGGGTGCAACACTTTTCTTAGTGTTATTTATTTAATGCCTTCCTCTGCATTGTCTCTAATATCATACCAGCCACTTAGTAAAATAACTACCATTTTGGAATTACTGAGATGGAGCAAAAGGAAAACAAGGAGTCAGGTAGCACCTTAAAGAAAAAAATGAATTTATGATTGCATCTGATGGAAGCAGAGTCTAGTCCACAAAAGCTTACGCCATTAAAAATGGTTGTTGTTTAAGGTTCCACAAGGCTGTGGCTTTTGCTGCAACAGGGAGAATAAACAGACATGGACACACCTCTTGAAATTGAGATGGAGAATGTTGCCGAAAGGGTAGGGAAGGAAAGAAAGATCATGAGGAAGAATCATGGGTCCTGAAAGAAGAAGGAAAATAGAGATGTGAAAGTGCATTAAAGGGTCAAAGGGTAAATGCAGCAGAGGCACTGTGGGTGCTTCAACCAGACTTTTAGCAGGCAAAGGAGGGGCAAGCGCTATCTTGAGGTTGCCCTTTCAAGCCATTGCCATTTTCTGTCCTGATATTTGTGTGCATGTATAATTCACCTTGACAAATACCAGGTCAAGAAGACTTTATGAGGGTGCACTGCAATGGCATGCTTATTCCTAAGTAGACCCACCCAGTACAAAAGGTAGGGGAGTTTGGTTTTTCCTTAAAGCTGCTCTCCTTCTCCTCACCACTCCCACTGGGGATCTTTAGAGGGTAGCATTATTACTAAGCATACAAATATCATTGGAAAGTATTGTCTTGGGCACAGAATTGCTGAGAACCAGCAGCACCTTCAGCCAAACTTTGGATTCAGGCCCCTGTGATCAGCCATGAATTTTTGAGTTGCTTTGGGCTAATCACTCTCCTACCTTTTGAGCTTCAGGGTACCATGTGAAGAATTATAATGTGGTAAGTTTGGGTGGTTGGATGGGAGAGGATGAGTGGAGACTGTAAGGAATGCTGGGAAGTCCCTTAATGGTCTTGGCAAAGCTGCCAAGTACCTCTTTTGCTAGGGAGACTACAGGTAATATGTTTCTGTAGAAACTAGTTGTTAGAAAACCTTCCTGAAGTCTTCTAAAAGAGCAGAAGCAGAACTTTGCTCCTCCACCTCCATCTAGATGTAAAGGTGGACAGGGTTGCTGTGCCTTTAGTAGTTGTGTAGAAGGGGGTGGGATTTCATCAGTTGAAGCTCGTCCTGTGCCCTCTTTCACACCTGACCGGATTCCCTCCATCCTCAACTAAGGATGATGCAATCTATGTGTCTCTGTGTGAAGAGACACAATAGAATACCAAGGTTTTGGAAAGACTGAGACACAAGAACCATCTTCAGGTGTTCAAAGCGAATGTATGAAGGGGCAAGGAGGAATCTGCAGGATGAGCCCCACCACCTTGATGATGCTATGCGTGCCAGACACATGTGATCATTGTTGGTCTGAAGGGAACCGTTTTCATCAGGTCAGCTAGGGTTCTTGTCCCCTTTTTGGAAACCCTGTATTTGAGTAAGGCAGCCCCTTCAGTCTAACACCAATCCTGCATGAGCTGGGAAGCAGGTCTGGCATTTGAAGCATTATGGGAGCAGGGCTTGCATCTTCATGTGTTCAAATGAAATTCCCAGAGAGCCAGAGAGAGCCAAGCATTTGTGGGTACTGACTTTCTGTATCTGGAGATTTGATGTGGAAGCAGTCGTCTCTGGCTGTCTGGTAGAGCGCTTAAGCTGTCCCTCCACCATGCTTAACTTCTATATTTTTAAATAAATGCAAACATTGCAAAACTCCAATAAAACTCCACAGACCTTCCAAACGAAGTGCTGCACCCTGGAACTTCTCATCATTTGGAGAAGCAGGGTGAAGCTATAATGGCTTGTTTTGCAGTGTTGTTGTTATGGCGAGCAACACTAAAACAATTTGTACAGAACAGTGCTGCTCCTGCATGGTAGATCCCCAAAGGGCAGGCAGGGCCTGCACTCTGCCCATTTTTCTGAAGAGCCACGGCTGCAACCCAACACAAGATTAGCATGTGTTTCTCTCGATGTCGAAAAAGAAAGGGTGGGTGAACAGAAAAAGCAGATTGAAGCCAAACCCCAGTTTGGAATATAGCCACCCGCAAACATCCTAAGGAGTAAAGAGTGGGCTCACAGTGGAAAGAACTAATCGCCCACTTTGAATACAATAGTATCACTCAACTGTCAAGAATGCAAATGTATTTTAATATGGTACTTTCCAGCTGCTTCTTCACACCTCCCACACAAAAGGAAACCCTGAGTTATGCATCACCCAAAGTGGTTCTGAGTGTCTGCCTAGGAAGTAATACTTTGTATAGGCCACACTGTAACTGCCACGTAACACAAGCAAACAGAATGGACTTTCCCTTCCCAGCAGTGCTGCTGGTTTGTGTGTTTGTGCTGCTGAAGGAAGGAGGGCTCTGCCCAATGTGTGGCAGTGGGGTTGATGGCAGAGGGAGAAAAGGAAGAGGCCTGGCAAGGAAACTTTGCAGTAGCAGGAGTGAAGGATCTGCTGGATAACCCACGCCACCCTGGGGTCGGGACCCACTGAAAGCTAAGGAAGGAAATGGTAGAAGAGGTCATGAAAGACTTAGTTAAACCCAAAGGAAATCCCACTATGCAGCAGGCCTGCACTGAACCGCCAACACAATCCTGACCACAGAGTATCATCAGCAGAAATAAAGTACACTACCGGGGGGGGGGGAGGGAAATGAGATCACTGAAGAACAAAGAGTTTGTCGTTGACTCAAATACAAAAAGGCAAGTCATGTGTTGCAGCAGAAAGCCACCATCCATCTAGTAAGGTAGCAATGCCCCTTGCAGATTCTTAAATTTGATTCAGAGGAAAATATCTTTTGACCAGAGATATTGGACAGACTGAGCATAGCCGTTGATCAAAGATCACCAGTGTTGAAGCAATGATTCTTCAACATCAACTTTATTGGACTGGTCATGTTGTGTGGATGCCTGATGATCGTCTTCCAAAGCAACTACTCTATTCCAAACTTAAAAATGGAAAGCGTAATGCTGGTGGTCAACAAAAGAGGTTTAAAGCCTGTCTCAAGGCAAATCTAAAAAAATGTAGTATGAACACTGACAACTGGGGAACACTGGCCTGCGAGCGCTCCAGTTGGAGAGCAGCCTTTACCAAAGGTGCCATGGGCTTTGAAGACACTCAAAGGGACGCAAGGGAGAAACATGCTAAGAGGAAGGTATGCTTGGCAAATCCACACCATGATCAACTCCTGCCCGGAAACCAATGTCCCCACTGTGGAAGGATGTGTGGATCCAGAATTGGCCTCCACAGTCACTTAAGGACTCTTTTTTAAAAACTGTGTTAATGGAAGACAATCTTACTCGGCTATGAGTGATCACCAAAGAAGAAGAGCCGTTGATCAAGGCCATCAGAATCAGCATTACAGACGGTATCATATCAGACTGCAGGCGAGGATTTGTTTGACTGAATGCTCTCCCGTGCAAAAATAATTCCCTGCACATAGAAAACTAGATGTGAAGAGGGAAAGAGTTTTAGCCCACCCTACTCTTGGACCTGCTGGTTTTAACAAACATTGTACCTTGATGTTTCATGACTGGCATGGTTACCTCACACAATTCTCCTTGGGGTGGATACGTTTGCACTGGCAAAAAAGAGAAAATGCATCACCAAAAAGGAAAGTAGAGGTTTGCACAAAACTGCACACATGCTATTTTGTATGTATAGATGCAAATTTAGAAATCATTACTTTAATATAAATAAATAAAGAAATCTCACATTATATTGGGAGGAGCCTATTGGGACCAAGTGACCTTTGTGTGGTAGGGATAGATGCGTCCATTTCAGTTCTCCCAATTTTTCATTTTTCCAATCTTAAATTCAGTTAGCCACATTTCTTCAGCATTTTTTTTTAAAAAACCTTCTGAAAAATTGTCAGCAATTTGGTGCAAAATTCCCCCAATAATGCACATTTCTGTATGCAGCTTTCTCTAATGTACACATTTCTGCAAAGCAATTCCCACTAATGTAATGCATTTTTAATGCACACTTTATTATATGCCCTTTTGCACACATTGCTTGCTGGAGAATTGCATTGCAAAATTCAGGGACATGTGAATTTTGAAGGATGGCTGCTTTTCAGTTGGCGTATTGTTACAGAAAGTGCAGATTTGGTAGGTTCACCTTTAAATGTGAACTTAACATCAAATTGCTTCCCCATCCCCAGGGCTTTTTTTCAGCTAGAACTCACCGGAACTCAATTCTGGCACTCCTAATTAAAATATTAGGAACTATGTTATACATTAGGGTAAAGAGATTCCGGTCCTCCCTCTAGTTATAAACCTACATTCAAAAAAAGACAAAGTAGGTATTTTATCCAATCATGCACACTGCAGGTGGGTTCTGAAGGAGTTATTCATATGAAGCTTTCAAGCTTAAGGAGTCATTAGTACACTTTACACTAATTATAGAGAAAAATAAACACCATCTCATAAAGAGAAAGAAAGGATATAAGGTTTCTGAGAGGCCTGAAAATAGGCTGCGGAAAAATAGGCTTATTTGGTTTCTTTCTTTCTTTCGAACCAAAACACCCGAACTTTCTCGGTTCAGACTGACATAACCCAGAAAAACTGGGGAAAGGACAGTGGCAAGGTAGATGTCAGAGCCACTCATTTTTTTCCGCCCAACAACCCCTGGCTACAGAGAATGCCTGTTTCTCACTTTAAGTCCCACGGACTTCCAGGAAGGAGTAGTGAGCTAAGCTGAACTGCTATTCCCAGGAACAACTGAGGGGGTGGCAGGGATAGAACATGACTATGTTCTTGGAAAACCCCGGGGGGGGGGGAACCTATCACAGAGCT